TATTATTATTATTATTATTATTATTATTATTATTATTATTATTATTACTACTACTACTGTCTGATGTCATGATATCCGACTCGGTTTTGGTCTTTTTTTTTTTAAGTCAAAGCCTGAAAAGCAGCATCTTCCCTCGTTTTGCTGGCGTTCGGCGGCGTCCATTCGGCCAATCAGAGCGCGTTATTCCTCTCTGAACGCAGCCTCCGTTTACCTGCTGTGACTGAGCGCCCCTCCGCCTTCGCCCCTCTAAGTGGGGCCGCTCGTTTCTGTCAAACCATCAACATTTTTGGCGCATTTTTGTGTTTTCATGCCATCTTTGTTGTGTTATGACCACCGTTAGATCTAATGCTACGTATCAGTCCTCCCACCCGACCATTTCCCTTCAGTTTGATTCACCCTCTATCCAGCCTTTGATTGACTTTCAGCCTAACTAAAGTGGATTTTAATGAGAGAATACATTAACTCCCTCTGGTCATGCTAACATAAATCAGCCTTTTCTTGCGGGATCAACTGCTGAGCTCATAACACCATGCTGAGGGAGTGTGAATAACCAAATGAGAGATGGCAGCTCAGATGCATCGTTGTGTATCCCCTTCCGAGTTTAACGCAAGTTCAGGATGCTAACAAACCGCCTCGCCGTCGCACCGGTCGGCTCTAGCTCCCGGAAAAAAGCTGCTTTGTCAGAAGGAAATTAAACGCATATTTCTGCCCCATCACTATTGATAATTTGCCTCCATTTGGAAACGGGATGACTCGAATGTTCCCGCTGATGACCACTGTGAGCCGCTCAGATTCAGTTAGCGGGCGGCTAGCAGCTCCTCACCTTGTTGGATGTGCCTCCAAAGGGGCATCTATCCGCCTCTCTTTGTTAGTAATTGCGCTCGGCTAAATAGGTTATGCCGAAATATCAATAAATTGCCATCAAATTAATGTCAATACCGAAGCTGCGGATGGTGCTAATTAAAACGCAAAAGGGGTGAAAATGAAGTCGCCGCATTGCCGTGAATAATTGATAACTCCATTTATGATTTTTATGAAAGAGTGCCGTCTGTCTGCGATTCTGATGAGGCCTTAATTAGATGCATTAATGTGTCTCTCAGTGCCTGTTCTCAAACTCCAAACTCAAACACAATGATGTGTTGTTGGTTTTTTTTAAACTCTCTAAATTACACACTTTCAAACAACATTACCTCCAAACCTCCCTAGAACCGAGGGCCAATCAGAGGCCCGCTCCGGTTTCGGCTGGAAGAAGGCTGTGGCTCGGTGTTTTTCAACCCACTCTGCTTAAGATTTGGACAAAGAACAGTCAAGTGAGGTCAGGTCACCTGGCGATAAATCGCTGGGCGCATGACGGTGTGATGTTTATTGACTCAAGCCGATCAGGGCGATCCCCTGTTGGATTTGTACCTCCTCGTCTATTAGCCGAGCTCGACCTCTGAGATAAACGACGAGCGGGGGGGAAGCAGACGGATGAGGGGATTAGAAGTGGGCCGCGGCCAGGAGGAAGCAGGACCAGGAAAGAAAAAAAAAAAGAAAAAAAAAGAGAAGTGTCTGGATAAATGAGGTGGAGGAGCACAATGCCTGCTGTTTGTTATGATGTAGTGAATCAGCTCCTCTCTGACCAAACAGTCCTCAGCACCTCTGTATTTATGGTGTCAGTTCCTCGGTCCATCCACAAAGGCCGGCTGATGATGAGTGAGCGGGGGGGTGTCTGGGGTTCTGCTCCAGAGTGACCCGATCATCAGTCAGGCCCCCAAACCGGAGCTCCGAGGGGGGAATCGGATCTCCGGACGGTTCGGTCTAACCCCTAAATTTCCAGGAATGCTCTCCCATCCTCGGCTCCTCATTTAACCCTTTAAAGCCCGATCCAAGAAGAAAACAAATCAGAAAATTACTTAATTAATTTTTTTTTTTGGGTTTGAATTCCTTATTTCGCCTTTTAGCAAAATATGTAAAAAGAAAAAACTAAAATAAGATTTTAATATTAATAATTTATTACTATGGGATAAGTCAAGATTAGTTTTTGTGTAGTCTTCTGCCCCCTGTTATCAGGTGTACCTGATTGTGTACAATAGGATTTTGAGCAACGTTTTTACCATTAAATTATGCAAAAGCTGTCAGACGCAAAACATTTCTGAAACAGTATGTATCAAATATGATACATTTGGCATTACAGGGTTAAACAGGACTCTCTGAATGTTTGGCATTAACCATCTCACTTATGTGACAAAAATAAATCTTAATTTAAAAATAAAGCAGTATTGGATGACAAAGGGAGGCTTCTGACCCTCACAGGCCTCCCCTTAGCAAAGCAAAAGTGTCGGGCACTCAGATTACAACTCTGTTGCCTTAATACTGAACGAGACAAGGGATTAAGATGAAGAAAAAGAAAAAAAACTCTCCGAGATGCTTCCGATGGCTGGGAGTGGGAGCAGGAGACACACAGGTTCTCCTCCATCTGACGTTGGGGGATGCTTTGTTTAAGCCAGATGTGGGAAGACATGTTTGGCCTTTCCCAGGAGTTAAACAGGGCCTTTTGAGAGGGGGGGGGGGGGGATACAGGCATCTGTGGGTTGAATGGGGAGGGATAGGGGGGGGGGGGGGTCACACTGAGTTATGTAAAGTGTGTGTTTCAATGTAAATAGGCAGCCCTTGCTGTTCGTATCTGCCAAACAAAAGTTGACGGATTCACTCAGAAGAAGGAGAGCTTTTGTTTTTCAGGAAATCAGGATGCTCCTGAAAGCAGCCGGGAGTCGCTTCACCCTCTAAAGTGTTTTTGAACCACTGTGCCTCGGCACACTAGTGATGGTCAGGTGTGCCGTAGAAAATCCTCCTATTTCACCTAATTGGTCTATAAAGACTTTTTGATAAGGAATTAATTATCTGCAAATAATATGCCATTTTTTAGTGTCTGTGCTGTTCTAGTGACTGGTGGCGTAATCATGTAATAATTCCTTATGACTAGATTTTGTATTTAATTTTATATATTGAAGTGGACATGTTAAGTGCAATTTGAAAGAAGAAATATAAAATATGATAAAAATACATTTTTGTTTATTTGATTCCTATTCAAGACACTTAAGATAAGATAAGAATAAAATAAGAATAACTATAGTGTTACTATAGGCGGCTACAGATTTATTTGACATTTTTGGTTGGTGGTGTGCCTCGTGATTTTTTCAATGAAAAACTGTACCTTGGCTCAAAAAAGGTTGAAAAACACTGCTCTAAAGGCTTGAAAATTGAGCAATAATGTGAGCTCTAACAGCAAACGGCAGCTGGTTAAAAGCAGTAAAACCGGGCGCCGCTCTGGTCTGCGAAGCTAAACTAATCCACTTAAGGCTCTCAACTCGTGCCTCGGTCCAATCATGTTGAAATTTTTTGACTTTGCAAAATGAAGAGCGGCTGGATCCCCACAGGAAGGGTTGCTCTCATTAAATTGTTCTGCGAGCAGATGAATGGACTGTAGATGTATCGATCCCCCGTTTCTGACCCAGAGAGCAGGAGGATTTATGTTATATAACATTATATAACGCCTGTTTGCTTCCACACGCGTTGCCCTTCGCTACGAAAAAATATCGATTGTGGAATTAGTTGTCCGGCCGAAGGAGTTTTGCTAATAACACAATGACTGAAGTTTGAAAAGTGAGAAGCTTTTGCTGCTTTTTGCTGCTTTCTGTTTGATGATTTTTGCTCTTGTTTTAGACTTTGGGGACATCCCACCAGTGGGGGCTCAGGACCTGAACAACATCCTGAAGCAAGGCTACCTGGAAAAGAAACGAAAAGGCACGACTTCCTCACCCTTTCTCAGCAAACCACACCCTAAGCGATTACTCACCTGCTCCGTTTCCCTCTTTCAGACCACAGCTTCTTTGGCCCAGAGTGGCAGAAGAGGTGGTGCGTCCTGAACAACTCCATATTTTACTACTTTGGGACGGAGAAAGGTTTGATTGCGACGCAGAGAGGTTCCAGCCACAGACAGAGTCGGGTAACATCCCTCCGTGTGTGCTCCCTCCCACAGATAAACAGCAGAAGGGCTCCTTTCATATCAGCGAGTACAGCGTGCAGCTGGTCAACAACCTGCGAAAGGACAAAGAGAAGAAAAACGCCTGCTTTGAGCTCACTGCTCCTGGACGGAGGGCCTTCCAGGTCCCTGCATATCTTTGAATTATTTTAAATTAATGTCTACACTTCTACGTTTTAAAAGAAAATTGAAGCACCCTTTGTGGATTAAATAACAGATGACATCTGTACATTGTCACAATTAACTATAAATCATGTCACATCTGATATTTTTAGCTTTTATAAACAAACTTAAAGATAAAATAAAAATATTTATACTTCCTCTCCCATTTTTTGACAGTGTCAGACATTTCTAATTTTGTCAATCTTTTTGTGCCCCAAAAAAAAAAACACATAATCCTTAATGTTTAATTTCGTTGTTATTTCTGAAAATGTTAAAACTTAAATTAACCTTATGCAGTGATGGTGACAGAATTAACAGAAAATAAACATTTTAATGGTTGAAAAAAAAAAAAAGATTTTGAACATCAAAACTTCTTATTTTATGTGATAAGCACAAACACACATTGATATTTATTTATGAGACAATATTATGAGACAATATTATTTTACTTTAGCACACATTAATTTAATATATTTGATTTGTAATTAAATAATTTATTTAGAAAGTTAATTGAGGAAACTATCAGAATTGTTTGGGTTGAAGTTTGATATTCAGCTGAATAAATATAAAAAATTAAAACAAATTTTCCCCTAAAATCTCCACAGTATTAAAGGAGCTATTTGGAAAACATTGACTAAACCGTCACACTGACACATGGACACACTCAGTCCCTCAGCTACTAGTTTTCGACATGCCCTGATTAAATATTTATGAGACAGATTGTTAAATTTTCTGAAGTTATTCAAAAAGAGAAAGTTTCTCATTTCTTTACTCGGTGCAAAATGAACATTTGGAGGTTTTATCACAAGCTGGAAGTGTGAATTCTGTACTTAAGATTAGCTGATAATGAATGTTTTATGGCCTCTTTCCCTCTAGTTCGCTGCCAATAGCCTCCAAGAAGCCAGAGAATGGGTGGACCAGATTAATTTCGTTCTCAGAGGTGAGCCACTTTGTCTCTTTGTAGTTTTTTTTTTGTTGCCACTCTTCCAGCTTGTCGGAAAAGCTAACACACTATCTTTTTTCCTCTCCTCCCTTCATCCATTATGCTTTTGAGTCCAGTTGGACTGAATAGTATGAATAGAGACTGTCACTTCTACGACTTTTTAGACGGTAAAAATGACAGAAACCTGTAGAAATAAAACAGACCGAAGCTTTTTTTAAGCCTCGCAGGTTAATTGGGAATTCAATTTCCCGCAGATTTAACCAGACATGTCAGATTTTATGAACTTTTCCCGCTTTCCTCGGTGCAGAAAAAGGTCAAAAGTGCGCCGGGGCTGTTTATCATCTCGGATCCGTGCGGCCAACCACACAGAGCTCCTGCATCTCCTCATGCGACGTGGCACCCGGCATGTCATGTGTTCGCCCTCACGAAGCCCCCATTTTTCCTCCACCCTTCCCAACCACTCCTCCCGTGACCCTCCTACCGAATTCCAGCTTACAGGAAATTGATTGGTAGCTGTTCTGGTTATCCTCCAGCGACATTGATTTCTGCTTGGCTGCTGGTGTACGACGGAGGACCTGATACCCCGTGTTTCAGTGGCCGGTCGCCTGCAATGAGACAGCTCCTCCATCTGAGCGAGCGCGCGCGCCTCGTCCTCTCTAAAATGGGCTCAGGCCGGGCCGCCGGTTTGCGGGAAAGTAACAGACACTCTGCAGTTTGTCTTACGCTCTCCCAGCACAATCTGGCTTCAAAACTCAATCCTGTCTGCTATTAATCTTTTTCATTTTTCACTTTACCTGTTAAAAAAACAAAACATTTTTCATTTAAAAAATCAATTCCTTATATTTAATTGGTTTAAAATGTACAAAAAGGTGCTATTGAAGCATTTGGAGCTTAATAATTCAAGCACTTTAAGTCCAAAAATATATTTTCCTGAACAACAGATATGAAGAAAACCTGAGTTAGATGTGGGAAAGTGGCTATTTCAATAGAACAATAGAAAAGTTAATAATGAAGGAAAAGAGCTGCTTTCTTTTCCTTTTGCAGCTTCAGTCTTTAATATATTAGTAGAAAATCTTTTATTTGAGATTTAACCTGAAAAAATGAATAACTCTCATGACTTTTCTGCCTTTTTTCATATGAAAAATTGCAGTTGTTTTTAATAGAAATGAACTGTGTGGCTTTTGCTGGTGACCCCTCTGACTTTGCACTTTGGTGCACGTTTGTGATGCTAACAGCCATTACTGTTGAAATTGTGCAATGTAAAAGCATATATCGATGCCAAAGGTTAAAAAAAAAAAGACAGAAAAAGATCCTCCTACAGTTACTTTTAAGAACTTTAAATAGATTGATTCATTGGTATTACCCATCTAACATCTAACCATCTCTCCTTCCTTTTCCTTCCCTCCCAGACCTGAGCTCCAGCGTCATCCCCGAGGATGAGGATGAGGAAGAGGAGGGAGAGGAAGGGGAGGAAGAGACCTACGACGATATCGAGGGGGTGGGCGGCGTGCCTCTGCCCCGCCGGGAGAAAGAGGAGGCCGACGAGGCCGAGGAAGATGACGACGACATCTACGAGGTGCTGCCAGGTACGAGAGGGAGGCAGACTTTTAATTCAATTCGATTAAATTTTATTTATATAGCGCCACATCACAACAATAGTTGTTTCACAGCGCTTTCCAAACAGAGCAGGTCAGACCCTACTCTGAAGTTAACTACACAAACCCAACAATTCCCACCATGAGCAAGCACTAGGCGACACAGGCAAGGAAAAACTTCCAACTTTTACCACAGGAAACAGCTCTGATCCTTCCTGGCTGTGAACTCTGTATCGGTCACTGTTCTGGTCAGGAGGGAATCACGTGTTAATTACAGAAACCCAACAATTCCCACCATGAGCAAGCACTAGGCGACACAGGCAAGGAAAAACTTCCAACTTTTACCACAGGAAACAGCTCTGATCCTTCCTGTCTGTGTACTCTGTATCGGTCACTGTTCTGGTCAGGAGGGAATCCACTTACACTGACTCCAAACCCGCCTTATCTCTCCGAGCAGCTATGTTGTTGAAACAGGCGAGAGCTGCTCGAAGCCCCGAAATGCTCCGTCATAGAACGTCCAATTAGCCGGCGTTGCCAGGCAACAAATAGCCCCACAATTCAATCCGCTAAGCAGAGTTTTGGCTAGAATTGCCTGGCAACAGCAATTTAGCTGAAAGGGAGTAAAAACTGCATCTCTCAGGGCTTAAAATAGTTCCGGAGCTCTTAATGTCGGATGTTTAATAGAAATTAAAGAGTTTGACTGACGAGATACCCAGAAGAAGAGTGCGTGTGAGGAAAAGACGGCCCCGTGTGTGTCAGGGCTGCTACAAGATCCCACGAAGGACAAAAGAGGTGATCCGATCTTCTCAGGGCCGTCGTCCATCACTGTTCCTGTTAAATAAGATACATCAAGATTCTGTTTCACTCAGTGAGTACATTACCTTTCCCAAAATCACTGGTGAAAGGGAAATCAGTCTTCAGACTGTCACGCCGCCGTTCAAAGCCATCTGGGAAGAGGAACAGAGCCTGACCACAGATGGCATATCGGATGACGGCCTCTTTCGGTCACTTTCTCACCCCTTCGCTTATAAATCACCCTGCATCCCCATGTGCTCACTAACAGCTTTACACTGTGATTGTGGACTGTTAAATTATTAAACCGTCTCTCTTTTCACCTCCGGTAGCAGCAAGGCTTTTGCTTCTGTCCATTCAAATGTTTCCCCCTGAAGCTGTTAACAGGAAGTCTGTGGAAATATCAGGAATTTGCGATATTGCGTCCTGGTTCTTAGCTGATGAGACGCCTCGGTTTGCAGGTGTAACCCGGTTGACAAAATAAAAGTACCAAATCGTAACTGTCGCAGTAAAAGCACTGCTATATCAAATACTTATAATTCATGTTTTTTTTTTTACAATATCAACCCATCATGCATGAATTGCAAATCAGAATTATCACTATTTATTATTCTATTTAAATATTTGTTTTTTAACCAACTACTTATTTTACCTTTTCAATATGTGTTTGTCAAATGGGTTACACAGGCACATGACTGATTTTATTGACTGAAAAATGAAATCGCTTTCATACAGAAACCACCAGGCCGTGGCCCCCCGCGCGGCAGCTAACCGAATCGAACAACCAGTTTGTAGCTATCTGTGTTTTTTAGAGAGGAGAAGAAACGGGCAGCCGTGCACGTGCACGTGCGTGTGCACGTACGTGCGTGCGCGTGTGTGTGTGCGTCCGTGTTTCCTGCTCTTCCTGGAAGCGGAGGGCAGGTTGTGCTGGAAGGTGGATAGTGTTGCTGGGATGTGGCACGGCTGTCAGCCGGCCTCTGCTCAGGATGGATGTGGGAGACAGAGTTAGGCGTATCACCGTGTCACCCGCCAGCAGACCGCCGACTGCCACGCCCCACAGTCAATGACACGTCCGCCTCTGCCTGCTCAACTTCTCCCGCAGCGTTTTCCGATGAACGCCGTTCCATAAAAAAAAACAAAAAAAACAAAAAAAAGCAAAACACCATCCATTCACATTTCCACGCTCAGCTGATCTGAGATGATGGCTTTGTACCCTTTGCAGGTCGTGTTTCTTATCATTACTGTCAGCTAAATGCTGCTAATGTTTATTATCCCTCGTGTTGTTTTTGTCTCGTTCTTTCCACCCTGTAGAGGATTTTCCCAGCTCAGCAGAGGAGGCTGCAGAGAAGAGCAGCGAACAAGGTCAGATCAGAACCGGCCCTTTTCATACCTTTGTCCTCTGAGTTTGAACCCAGAACGACTCAGCTGGAACAAACAGTTTAAGCTAAACCTGTTAAAAATGACCAACAAAACCAGCAGAAATGGCAGATATTTTTATTTTTTATTTTAACCCTATAATGCCATATGTGTCATATTTGATACATACGGTTTCTGAAGTCTTTTGGAGACTTTTTGCATCATTCAGTGGTAAAAGCTTTGCTCAAACCCCTGTTTTACACATTAAAATATACCTGATAACAGCCAGTAGAAGACTACTCAAAATACATTTTTGACTTATTGTGGGCTAATTTGATCTAAATAATTTCTGTTTTTTTTTTTTGTTCATATTTTGTTGAGCGGGCAAAGAAAGACTTCAGACTAAAAAAATCCAATATTCTTCCTATTTTTCTTGGATCGGGCTTTAAAGGGTTAACTGGGTTCATTTGGTCTGTATTTGGCTCTCTCTTATGGGTTAGTTACTTAACAAAACCTTTGTCATTTAGTAGAAGAAGAGCTTTTATTCCAATTTGTGCTGTGTGTTTCTTTCCAGCTGGGTCATCAGATTATGCAAACTACTACCAGGGTTTATGGGACTGCCAGGCCGATGAGCCCGACGAACTCACTTTCCAGAGAGGAGATCTCATCTACATCATTAGCAAGGTCAGCATCAGCCGCCATCAGCAGAAATCGGCCGAGAGCTTATTTAAACTCCTCTCCAGATTCTGTGGTTTTTCTGGACCAGCTTCAGCCGGTTACCTCCGTGGAAATAGCCATTTATTTCTAATGGGAAGCCATTCCTGACTGCACCCTGGACTCGTTGATATAATTACAGGAGCAGTTAACGGTGATTTCGAACGAGCAAAACGAGATGCGGCCGTGTAAAATGCGTAATTATTTAAGGCTTAAACAACATCGGCTCCAGTTATTTCGCCCCGTCCCCGTTTTAATTCCCGAACATGCTGATTCCCCCAACATGTGAGTTCCCCCCCCCCTCCCCTGCCTGTTCCAGGGCCACCGGGGCGCCACGCCGGCGCCGTAATGGGGCCGCCGCTCGTTACCCGGCCGCCATGGCGGGGGTTAATTGAGCAGGCAGCCGCGCGAAGCTCTCCCTATCTGTTTGCCATAAACTCCAGGTGAAGCCATCCCGCATCTCAGCATCTCAGCCTTTTCCTCTCAATCTATTTCCTCGTGGTTTATGGCCGTCTTGTTGTTACATGCGGAGCATCTACCAGTGAAAAGACCCCCCCCCCC